TTAAAATACTTTTTATATGCAAAGCATTTAAATTGTTTATGTAAACACAGAATTTCTTTCTAAAAGTTCGCGCAATTTAGAAAAATTACTAGAAATGATCTTCAGCGATGATTGTTAGATGCTCATCGGTCAATATGGTTTTACTTTTACTAGTTTTCGTCCATCAGTGGCCGAGCGGTAAAGTCGCTGAACACTGGTAGTTCAGTCCGGGTTCGAATCCCGCGAACGTGTATACGAGCCAGTTTTCCTTAGAAAGTCCTCCACGAAGGCATTCCTCCCTTTAGTCGCATAGCACTCGTAGTCACAGAAAACAAACAAAAATCTTATTAATTTTCATTTGTGAAAAAAAGCTTTCCGCTTGTAAGTGTATTCTCCAAAAAAGTGATTATTCTTAGTTCAAAAATGTACAACTGAATATACTTATTTTTTGACACGTGCAACGAAATATAATCAAATCTTTCAATAAGATTTATATCACACTGTAAATTAATTAGCTCAGTTTGTACATTTTCTAGTGCATCATTCACATTAAGTTGTAATGGTAACAAAAAAATGAAAACTCTGGCTTCAAATAATTAAAATTATTACATCTGTAACACCGTATTTGCAACGAATACATGATTGAAATGTACTTGTTGGCAGCATAAAACTGCTTCGGTACTCGCATGTGGCCCCAAACCACCGATTTGAGACTACTGTTCTATCATATATAAATTAAAATTCAAAACTTTCTCATTTCCATTTGACTGCTAAAACATTCTTTTGTAAATATCCTCTGTCATGTTTTCCCTCTTGGAATTTCATTAATTATACCTTAAATAATATAACATCCAAAGAGAATTACCTGATTCTTGTAAGTTCGGTAAAATTATCCTATTTTTACAGAAACCTTTTCAGCATCATAATAGCTAGTTAAAAATTCAAACTTCACAATCTTTTTAATGTAGTTTAATTTCACCCTAGTAATTTTCATTAGTTGGAATGGTTTGGTTTATTTGATTATGGTAAGGCACATAAGTGCTATCTGCTTAAAGGGAGGGATGCCTTCGTGACGTACTTGCTAAGGAAAACTGCTTCGTATACACGTTACACATAGGGAAAACCACGTAAACGCTCATCCAGCCACATTAGCTGGAATGTACTGCTGATACTGCTGCAGGTGTCAAATTAATGGGAGGTGGTGAAGATAGAATTCCTTAAAAAAAAAAAAAAAAAAAAAAAAAAAAAAAAAAAGAGAGAGAGAGAGAGAAAATAGCTGTGTGAGTTTTGTAAAAATGAAGAATACATTTTCATTAGTGTAGTTTTTCAAATGATTTTAATATCATAAGTGAAAATGAATCAAATTAACATTCTATATCAATGCACGCATTAAATTATATTGAAAATAAATTATAGTTGCGTAATAAACTGCATTAGTTAAAAGTATTTCATCCCCCCACCTGTGACCGAGTAGTTAAGATCACTGAATGGTTTTAGTTTGTCCTGAATCGAATCCTGGAGAACTGGCTAGCTGTGTGATTGGTTCTCATTATTTTCCCTTTGTACAGCATGGGCCACCTACCCTTAGAAAGTCTTCCACGAAGGTAACCTTGCCTAAACAGATAGCTTTCTTGGGCTGTGCTAGTATCATTAGAAGCATTACGTTACCAAACAAAAAGGATCAATTATTAAAGAACTACCTTTATTATTGTTTAACGCTCTGTTAACTAAATTGCTTAGTTACCATTTGTAAAATAAATTAAAGATATTATACTAGGTCAAATGGCAATACTGCCTGCCCCGTTAATTGTGAGAATTTGCTGTTTACTAAGCCAGATTATAATTAAATTAATGGAACTTATTCAGTACTTGCGAAACCGTAAGCGTAACGTAGCCTACTGTAACAGACAAGAAAATTTGAAAAATTCATTGCAGACGTTTTTTATATCAAACAGTTTCAGATTTAATTTAAACTTATTCAGTTTTAAAACAATGATTAGTCGTACTTTGTATGTCTTGACGAGAACTTCTTTATATCCCAGCTATTTTCACTGCCGTTTTCTAAAATTAGCATTTCGTAAATAACAACGTGGACGATGCGATAGATTACTTATTCCCTCAAGCAAAGAAAGGTGTGAACTGAATAATAATTGCTTATTCACCTGCTTTAATTTCCAACAGTATCCTGTTGAATCACTGACTGATAATTTAGTTAAGCTGTACCATGCTCAGCCACTGAAACTTAACGCATTGTGAATGTCGAATATATCATGGTGCACCAAGCAAAACGTCATTTCCCTTGTTATTGCACAATCGCTGCTTAGATTAGGGTTTCAAAAATATATGAAAGAGGAAAAAATAATACTTTGATTGTTTAAATATTGGCGTTTTTTGATATCCGGCACTTAAGTAACGGGTAATATTTTGATCACGATACTGATATATAATATTTAGTAATAATTTTGTTAAATTTTATTTAAAGTAAATTCATTAAACAACGGAAACAATGAATAATCTGCGTGAATTTATGCATTTTTTTCGTATTGTGAAAAAACAACCGTACCTAGAGCCATCAAATTTTGAATAACGTAGCCTTCCACCCGAATATGGAAACAGGGAAGGAAAAGGAAACATTAAGGAAATGGGTTTAAGGAAATGGGTTCATGGGGGGGGGAATGGGTTAAGTAAAATAAAAGAATAATTTAAAAATAGAATAGAATAATTTAATAGAAATATTTTTATTTTATTTTAATGCAGTAATATGCTTTTTACTTTTCATTCAATTCATTTAAAATTGGTTGATCTTAATTTCTATTTGCTTACTTAATACAAATTGGTACAATTGTCAATACAAATCAATACAAATTGGTAATACAATTGTCAATGACAATATTCCACTAGCTTATTTTCACTATCTCGGACAGTTATGATCAAGTGTGAAATACATTTTGAAAGATTAAAATTTCAATCTCAGCTTCATAAGAGCTAGATTTTCTAAACGAAAGTCCTTAATTTTAATTACGAGTACTTATATATATAGTATTATAAATAATAAAACTGGTATTAAGTTAACTGCTACGAAAATGTATTACACCGTGTTTAAAGTATTGGATGCAAAATTTTATTTTAGCAGATGCGTTTGAATTTTGGATGTTAGAACCGGAAATTGGAAATACCGGTTCACCATGTAGCGAGATATTTTTGTCATAATTTAAAATAATTTTCGTAACTGAAACTGAAAAGAAAAATGATGTCATGTATTCTTTCGCTAGTTCTTTATCTTTGCTACGAGGAAGTTTTAATATTTTATTTTTGTTTTTGTGTCATTGTTTTAAAACACTTTGAATAATTAATTTTCTGTGAGTTAAGTATAGTACATAACAAAAGCCTTAACCCGCAGTAAAATTACCTAACGACCTTGAAACCCTTGTTACGTGTCATGATCGTTTTTATGATACTAAAACATTTCATTCCTGTTGTCTAAAATCTTAATGCTTTTTTGCAAACATTATCTACAATGGCCATTACGTAGCCTAAATTCGAAAGTGGAATAAATTGTAGCATATGTAGTAAATTGATTAGGGCAGTAACTTTATCTTCTTGCGAATTTCTCTTATTATTTTGGAGAATTCTGAGAAATTTTCTAATATTTCGCTATTTTAACCCCCCCTCCGTGAGTATGAATAAATTCGCGAATTGACCACTATGGACGAGATAATCCTAAAAACGTTAAATTTAGTTTTTAGGTAATGCTTTAAAAAGCATATATTTCAGGCTGGGATGAAGGATGCCTTCATACGTCAAACGAGGGAAAACGTTACATTTTTACATGCAAAATCCGAACATAATAGAGAACACGATATTCTGACGCAAATAGTTTCGGCTAATCTTTCGAATATGGTAACAGGTAGTTTGGTGACATTTTGGTAAGGCGATAAAGGTTACCAGCTAGGACTTTAGCAGTGTATATGGATAAAGTCAAGAGTGTGCGCAATGCCATTTTTGTGCAATTCTGGGATGTTTTTTTAAGTGAAAATAGGTCGAAGTGTACATGGATACCGTGTATGTGCAATTCTTAAAAACGCGGCAAGCAGTTTGCGATTCTGCACTTTCTCCCAATTTCGCACCTAATCTTTGTCATGATTAAGCACTTTTGTTCCATAAAAGTTCTAGCATAAGCGTAATTCGGCTAGCAGATTGTTGGAAAAAAAATGTTAAAAAAAAAAAAAAAATGCCTTTACTTCGTGAAAACAAAATGGCGTCCAAGCAAAAACTAGCAGGTTGCTGTAGCAGGATTGGTCGCCAAATTTTCGCCAAAAATCGTCAAGTTACCATAATCCAAAGATTAAACATAGTTTTTCAATGCCATTTACCGAATGAAGTTTAATAACTTTTGATCAAATTTAGGGATCAACTATAACACAAAAACTGCGTTTTTTTTTTCGATTATTGACTATATATTGAAGAAAAGGATATTCATAATTAAATTTTTTGTTGGCCTTATGAAAATTTAAATTGCACATATATGTGCAAATTTTGTGCGGAAAGATATGGAATCTTTTATTTTAAACCTTTTATAAACATCGTGAATATTTATTGTTTGGAATTTTTGACGAGCGATAGTAGTATAAAATGTACTGTTGCCGTTATTTATACATATGCTCGAGACGTATAATTAATTAACTAGAAAACGCTTATATTCATGTGTAAGGTGAAAGAGCACGTGTCGTCTGCGCAGGTAATTAGTGACTGTACGACTTTACCCAGCTCCATCCCCATTTTGATCGAAAATACCCTTGATGGCCACAACCCAATCGTCTTATACCTTATTTTATGCTATTAGCAATTTCTTGAGAGAATTTTCCATTCGATCCCAGATTCGATATTCCACCAGCGGCCGAGCCGGTAAAACCGCTAAACACTAGTAGTTTGATTCGGATTCTTACGTGGCCTCACGGGATGGCTTCATGGGTATTTTTGCGTTTTTACACTATGTATAACATAAATGCTAGCTATTTTACCTTAAAACACCCTCCACGAAGGCACTCCTTCTCTTAGATCAGCAATTTTCAATCTGTGTTGGACCATGCACCCCTTTCACCATTGCTAGCCGATCGTTCTCTCCTTCTCCAGCACTTGAAAAATGCATATACATTTATGTAAATTTAAATTATTGTTTAATTAGTTTTGTAAATTAAACAAGAAAAAGCATAGATAACATTGATAAAATACTGAAACGTGAATACAAGTATTTTTTATATTCATAAACTAAAACTAAATGCTTAACGGATAAATAAAAGGCTCTGCATTCCACCTTTTGAAACTCCGAAATTCCTTTCTCCCCTGGTTTAGAACCTCTATCTTTAAACAGATATATGCTTCTTATAATATGGTCTAAAAAATAAATAAATAATACGAGATTCGAACCCAAGCCAAACGATGTACCAACAGCCTCCGGTAACCACTATACTGATCATAACTGCATATGAAAAGCAAATTCGATTTTATATTTATACAACCTTCTGACCCACAGCTTCGAAACGTTTTTCATAAAATTATTTAGTTTATTTTGAAAAACTTCGCAACTGAAAGCATATGCCTAAGCATATGCCTAAGCATATGCCTAATATTTAAAAAAAGTACAACCACTTTTTCGAATATCTTATGTGAAGTTTTAAGTGTATAAAATAATTCATGCGAAATAGTACTACGAAATTAATGCTAGACTGTTATAGATAAGAGGAAACTGTGAGAGATTCTATTTTGTCTGATAAGTTTGAGATTGGGGTAAATCACAGCATAAAATAAGAAATAAAAACGACTATTTAATTTACAAACACTGCTTTAGTAGCATAGAAAGTAGTGCTTTAGTAGCAAACACTGCTTTAGTAGCATAGAAAAATCTTTCAAGAATGTGGTATTAAAACCAACGTTTTAATCTTACCAAATGTTTTAAAGTATGTAGGGAATAGAAGGCAAAATAAAGAAGCTCCTTGAATCCATAATTTAATTTCTGAATATAAATTTTTATCGCTTTACTTTAATTTATGATCCGCAAAGATAAAAGCGAACGGATTTTCGATGCGTTAGATATTGATTGCGGTAATGATAACGAATGAACTGTTTTTGTTGCCATGCCATGCGGAAATACCTGGAGCATTAACCCAGAAACCAGTTTTTACCCTTTCAGTTAGTAGTTGCTATATTTTTTTAACTACCTGCGTTTAGATGTGTTATATATATTGTTTAAAGAATGCGAAATTTCATATTTTAATGAAGAGTTCGTTGTTTTAGTATTCATGAACAAGAAGAATATGCAATTTATCTTTTCCATGAATTTTTATATTTTTTAAAAGATTATAGACCGTCTTTGTATATTTGAATAAAGAAAGTCATTTTTCAGTGTCTTCTCTACTTATGCGCTAATGCTAATTTAATAATAAAATATATGCATATGAGTTCTAGAACTAGATTTGCTACAAATATAGCACTGTTTTCTTTGCACGTGATGTAAAATTTATTTTCCTAGAAAATTTTGCTTAAAGTTAATGGTATGAAAGGATAAACTGGCAGAGCCAAAATATGAATTTTTCAAGGCAGCCAGTCATTTTATCGCTGAACAGAATGTTCATAAAAATGGGCTACACGATTTATTTCCTAACTGCTATTACAAATGTGACCCGGGTTCAGATCTCGATGAGTACGCAGGTGTATACTGGTCAGTTACTCTTAATTATTATTATGGGAAAGCAGGCTAGTGCCATCTCCGTAAAGGGAATGATGCCTTGGAGGAGGATTTTCGTAGGGAAACTGGCTTATATTTGTTTACACGTAGAAAAAACTACAAATCGAAAACTACCAGTATTCAGCGACTGTAACAGCTCAGCCGCTGGGGATCTCCAGTTTCACTTAAATCGTTTCTACAGGAAGATAACTTTATTCTTATACTGATGCCCTTAACATGCATTGCCATGATCAAACTGATTAATAATAAATAAAAGAATTTAATAATACGGTTATGTATTTCTGATAGCGAAGTTTTACATAGTTTAGTTAATTAAAGTGAGAAAAAAAATCATAACTTTAAGGATTACATTTGCGGAAATATTCTTGACACATATTTTAGAGGACCAATCACAAATCTGATAACAAAGAATGTTTTACATAAAAGAAGAATATGAATTATCAGAATGAGAAGATTTCGCGTTGTAACTGTTTTTCAGTGTGTCTTTAAGATTCTCACCAGTGATTAAGTGACCGTTAAGCATATAAGCAAACTGTACACTGCTAAGACAACCACGCGAAATTAGCCAATGAGAGTCAAAGTAAGCGTAGATTTTAACCCAGCCCACCGTGATGATGTCACATGGCTGGAAACAAGCCTAAGCAAGTCATGTTTCGAATTTAAATTTAAATATATCTTTTAATGAAAAAAGTGCTGTATATGGATTCAGTTTTTTTCACCCCGTATCGTAATAGTACTGTCTCATTAACAACTTAAACAGTGGCAGAATGTAAACAAACTACCAGTCGTGTGACATCTTCATCGAGGGAAGAATTAACGGCGATACTTGTGTTGACTGTCATTGGTGAACTAAGAGTGGTCGTCCTAACCGTGTGAAAGCCCCAACGGCCGAGCGGTAAAGTACCCGAGGTCCGAGGTTCAAATCCCGCGAACGTGCTGACTACATGGGCGTTTTCGCGATTTCCCCCCCCCATGTGTAACGCGTATACGAGCAAGTTTCCCTTAGAAAGTCCTTCACGAAGGCAGCCCTTCCTTTAGACAGATAGGCTTCGAGGCTTTGTCGTAATTAAATAAACCAAACCTAACGTTTTATAATCATGACCTCTTTTTCATACTTTGCCTAAATAGCATAAATTTGCTTTACTTTTTATCTTTAGGTACTTATTAGGCGGTAGCAATAAATATATCACAAACAATGTGTTAGCGCCTTAGGAGGACCAAATCTACTCTTTTTTTTCTGGCCAGTATAATTTGCCAGCCACATTCAAAATGGCACTATTTAGGTTATTATTTTCTGCAGCTTGTCTTTCCTTCCATATGACCACGAATACTATGCTAAGAATGTAAGTGATGCCGAGCTTATATCGTGTTGCCTCTAATTTTCCTATTTTCCTTATCCCCACATGCGTTTGGTTATTTTCATGTGGTGGTAAATCTCGGGATCAAAGCTGACATTGAAACAAAATGAAGCCATCGCCACCTACCTTAACCTGACATGGCAGCGCCATCATATTTTCATTTTCTAGGATGGCTGATAATATCATATTCATCTGGATGTATGAAGATATGACTTTAATTTAAATTCTCGTCTAAAAATTAATTTTTTTATATTATTATGTTCTAGTACATAGACGTCTTATTCATTCGGCTGCTGGTAAACTGCTGTTGCAATAAGAATAGATTTTTCAGACGAAACCATATTAGTGATTTTCTCACTGTTTTCATTAGACGCCTCTCCCTCCCCCCCCAGCTGCCGAACGGATTAGAGCACTAAATACTGGTAATTGAACATGGATTCGCATCCTGGCAAACAGCATGATCTCTTTGGTAGTTTTTCTCACGTGTATGCTCCAGTTTTTCGCAGAAAATGACATTCTGTTCCTTGGACAGACAGCTCTAGAGTGCTTTACCATAATCTGATAACATTCTCTTTTTATTTGAAGGTTTTGATCACATTAGAAGATAGCATGTATCGCTATATTGTAATTGCTTAATGTGTCATGAATAGAAGAAGAGCGTTTTCACTCATCCACTAACTAATAAATATTGTTTTAAATACAAAGCATTTTCCGTTGTCCTCTGTATCTTGCAGAAAATTTACGTCATTAACTAGCTTGTGAATATAAATATTTACGTAAATTTATCTGAGACTTGCTCTTATCGCTTTCCCCTTTTTAAGTGTATTCATTTTGTCCTAGCAAACGTACATGACGAGTATTTTTTGAAGTTCTTTTTACAGCTCATATTCCGATTGTGGAAACGAAGACAGTAAAACCATTGTTTCCTCAAACTTTAGATTACGTTTACCATCGTTTAATCTTTACGAATGATCATCGTGACCTTTAACTACATCAAACTGTCAGTTAACACTTTCCGGTTGTTAAGAATTCGAATGAATGTGCAATTACAAACTTATCTTTCCGGATAACTTATCATAGACATGTTTGTAATATTTTGCTCATTAATAAAGGCGGCGAGTTAGATAATTATTTCTTCCTTATCTGTTGATGATTGAGGAAAACAAGCTGCTTTGTTGAGGCAAAATAATTTTGTGTAAAACCAAAATATGAGTCATCTTTGATAAAGAGAGGAAATTTATATATCTTGAGAAACATTTCCCCGAAAATATTCTCATTACATGCAGTGCGAAACATAATAATATATCAGAAAGCAAATTTTCATTTACACATCCTCATTAAAATGGACATGTTGATGACATTATTTAAAATTGAGTGGTTTGTACTGTAGTTGGCCTCAGTCGAGATATAGGACAACTAAATGTTGGTAATTTTTTCTATTTCATTTACCAACGTGTGAAGGCGTTATTTACTGAGCCAGGACAAAGATGAGGTAAATGAGGCACCTGCTTCAGATGAAAAACTAAAAGGGGTGCCAAATTAGTTACGAATATTTCGAAATTTGTTTCATAAACAAAGTTATGACCATAAATTTTCAAATTTAGTATTTATGAAGAAGTATCAAAAGAGTTTTGTTTTTTAAAGAATCCGGAGGAATTAAGAGAAGAATTAATAACATGAACTTATTCTCAAAAGTACTTATAGTACTAGGTACTTAACGTCTTAACGTAACCGGCGTATTCGCGAAACGGAAGCCTCCATCCGCCGAGGTAGCTGATAAAAGTAAAGACAAAATATGACGCATCATTAAATGTTATAAGTTTTAAAATTATACTTATTTTGTAAGGTGTATGTGTATTTAATTACGGCAAAGCACTCTAGGGCTATCTGCCTAAGGGGAGGGATGCCTTCGTGGAGGACTTTCTAAGGGAAACTGTCTCGTATACACGTTACACAAGGGGAAACCACGAAAACACCCATGCAGCCAGCCCGTTCGCGGGATTCGAACCTCGGACCG